CCGATCCGCAGCCTTACATTGCGTTTTATCCAAATATTCTTACGTCCATGTAAAAAAAACAATCAGAGCTGCGCTTAACTTTGTACGTCACTTCTGCCACAGTTCTGACTGGTTTTTCACCACGACGCGTTAATACGCTGTTAGGGTTGGGTAAGTATAATACGTCATGTAATATACATGGTTTTCTCTGTGTATATTGCAACGTATAATACGTCCCTAGTTTTCTACGCGAGCACAAAGTACATTACGTCCTTCTCTTTTTAAATAGAAAATAACAAGTCCAATTAGAAATTTGATATTAAACAGGGTTGTCGAAAAAATTTAAACGCAAATGCCAAATTAATTATTTCTTACCGATTCTTATCTTAACAATTCCGATCTTAATACTTTTTACGTAATTGTAGGTGCGCTATAAGACGTTAACCTCTCGAACACATATCATGCATCGGTGGAATCCGCCATATTGAAAACATAAAATTCTAAACAATTTTGATACAGGCGCAAAATTAATTCATTGTTCCTTAAAATATTTCCGTGTTTACATATGTGCTAAAAGACGTTCCTAACCTAACAGAAGCCGTATGTCGTCCATCTGCAGCATTCTTCATATTGGAAACGTAATTTACTGGTTTTCTACAATTTTCTCCGGTAAACTACTTTGTTACGTAATGTACGTCAAAAACCTCGAAAAATGGGAAACCAGCCAACCTTGCACGCTGTGCTCTGTTTGACACGCCATCCCTTTAGTAGAACTTGTATCTTATTACGGTAATCTACCACGACCCCACTCAACACCAAACGTAACAGTTACGTAACTTAAAACTAACAGATGACATAACGTTTGTTACGATGTAATGACCTAACAGTTACGTAACATAGAGCTAAACTAGTTGCATGACATTTGTTACAATGCACTAACTAAACGGTTATGTAACATGAAGCTAACAGGTTACATAACATTTGTTACTATCATATCTATATAAATGTAGCGTAAATTTGTTACTCTCATCTTATATTACGTGACTGTCCTAATATTACTGTGTATATGCAGCACATATTTGTAACAAAACAGAACTACATTGGTGCTAACTGTCATCTATTTTATTACATGATCGTTATCGTCATTGTCATAATTCATCGTCAAATGTCATAAGATTAATATATGTCATATTTTGTGTACTACTCGTACGAAAAAATGTGATTTTAGTTCATACGCGCATATATATTATCAGTAATTGTTTGCTAGTCGAATGAAATCATAATAGTCTTTAAGTAAAATCAGATAGTTTATCATTACATAATTTCATTGAAAGTCTGAACTGTCGTTCAATATCTAACTATTGCTAAGTACCAAAAAATAATAAAAATTAAAAAATTATATAATGTTTGATAAAATTGCGTGATTTTTTTTATTAAATGTATGAAGAATTAACATTATTTTAAGGTAACTAAAATTATAACATTAATGTAACATAGTAACATGTTACATAACATGTTACCTTACTGAGTGGGAAATAATAACCAACATCTAACTTCCATGTTACTTTTATACTACATGTTAGTTTCGAAAACGTAACATTTACCCAACAGTTATATAACAGTGTTTACTGGGACGCCGCTTGCGGCCACTCAATGGAACTTCAGAGGAATGCGGTTGCGACGAAAGGAATGCGGGTAGAAGCATGGACGCAGGATATATGGACCCCGAACGCCCAATTACTCCTTTGATATTCTTGTGACTGCAATAAGATTAACAGAGGGCGAACAAGGGAGGATCCTTTTTCTCTTTCTCTCTTGCTGTCAGATAGCCTGTCGCCATGTCGCGCTACGCGACTGTTTTGTAAAATCTGTTGGAAAGAGAGAGAAAGAGAGTATCCCGTGTTTTCTGCCGTCGCAATCGAATCAGTTTTTGGGGTCCATATATCCTACGTTCATAAGGAGCCCAGTGAACACTGTTATATAACTGTTGGGTAAATGTTACGTTTTCGAAACTAACATGTTATGTAACATGTTATATTAAAGTTATAATTTCAGTTACCTTAAAATAATATTAATTATTCAAACATTTAATACAAAAAAAAGTAATGCAATGATTTATTTTGTATTATTTCGTGGCACTCGGCAATCATTAAGTATTATATAATAAATCAGACTGTAAATGAAATTATGTGCATGATAAACTATCTGATTTTAAATAAAAACAATGATTTCATTCGACTAGCAAACATGGACTGATAATGTATATGCGCGTATGAATTAAAGTCACATTTTTTCATACGAGTAGTAAACAAAATATGACATTATTAATCTTGTGACATTTGACGATGAATTATGACAATGACGATGACGATGATGTAATAAAATAAATGACAGCACTAATGTAGTTCTGTTTTGTTACAAATATGTGCTGCAGATACACAGTAATATCAGGACACTAACATAATGTAAGATGAGAGTAACAAAGTTACGCTACATTTATATAGATATGATAGTAACAAATGTTATATAACTTGTTAGCTCCATGTTACATAACCGTTAAGTTACTGCATTGTAACAAATGTCATGCAACTAGTTAGCTCTATGTTACGCAACTGTTAGGTTATTACATTGTAACAAACGTTATGTTATTTGTTAGTTTTAAGGTGAAGTAAAACACATCGAGGAACTTGATCAACGTCGATAAAGAAGATTTTTCTAAATGCCTACGTTGCCGACGTTCATTTTTACATTGACAGCTGTATCGAATTATATTGGGTATTGTCCCAAATGGCATACTCCACCGGTCGTTTTCGTATAATAATTATAAAGAAATCGAAGTAAAACTCCAGAAATCATCTGGATTCATGCTTTCTGGAGTCCTAATTGACTGCAGTGGTACCCCCTGCGCCATCTGTGATTTCCGGGTCAATTAAATTTTCACTCTAAGATCTCGTATTACCACCGTTTTGGCATAGAAGCGCATACAACACTTTTTTTGCCTTTATCCCGTTCAAATGCGAGTTTATCGATTACTAGAGTGTTCTAAATTGTCGTAAAATTGTCCTGACCCTTTCGTTTCTGATATCGGAGCCTTCGATAATTGTATATTGATCGAAATATGAGAGCTCGACGCCATTTTGGTTCTAGTGTGGGCTAAGTTAAACATTTTTCCAAAAATTCAAAGTTTGAATGTGTCAGGACAATTCTTACATGATCAGGAATGATCTGCCAAACTTTCGGACAGTTCGGTCTAGTACCCTTAAAAAAAAGTGTTGTATTCGAATCGACTGATTTGAAGGGAGTTTCACTTCACCTTAAGACACAGTGCGAGAAGCATTCGGATCGTGACATGCATCAGTTGCTCAGTCCCGCGGACTGTTAGATTCATTGTGACTTCGGTAGCCGTGTCATTCGGTCCTCTTCGAAATTCAGTTTTCGATGTAATTTAAGATCGAGTTTTACTTTTTCAATTCATCGTAATAATTTGATTAAGGGACTACATGGATGACTTTGTAAAAAATGAACTTCAGGAGTGGAGGTTAGAAAATCTACAACAATCGTTCCAAGGTAAGCTTTACATGAAACAAATATTTACCGTTTTCAATGGATTATCTCTGTAGTGATTTCCCGAGTTCCCGACAGGAAAGGATACCGTCTACAGTGACACTTTGTACATGCAGCAACGGCAACATATATGTACGTTTGTCAACGGTAGTTTTTACATGAGCTGACTGTAATATATACATGTTGCTATTCTATTTTCTAACCACCCCAATAGTAATAAATACGTTGCTGCATGTTACTTTCTACATATATCAACAGTAAGGGGTACACTAGCGAACGTTATCATGTACACATTGCTTCAGTGGACGAGTTTATGCTGTCACGATTGTAAATATAACTGTCGTATTGTTGTAACTGTAATCATTCTTTGTAATAATGTGTGCTGCAATGAAATTGTACACTTGACATTTTTAGCACAGTAATCATTACTTTGTAGAACTGCTGTCCTTATATTTCCCAGCGATTGCTATTATATCTATCTCAATTGTAGTAATTATAACAACTTCTTTCTTTCCGTGCGGGTCTCACGTCAAGTACAGGCAAAGTCACTGGAAAACTTTTACTCGAAGCAGCTTCTCCACTGTTCGTGCTTGTGGACCAACTACTAGAAGACCCGTATACCCGAACTATTTTGTTTCAAATGTTACTTATTCTACTTGGAAGCGAATATGTAATGCGTGAATCTTGTTTAGGACATTCTACTGATTGTATTAATACCAGTTTTATTTAGCCTGAATTATTGGCTACAGAGATTTTTTTTAATGATTACTTGCGATGATACGTATACGACCGTTTCTCAGCTCATTCAGATACGTAGAATTCTAAATCCTGTAAGTTACATCAGAAACGAAGAGAAATTCCCGGTAACTTATCGGCAATTTCTCCAAAGCCTTTTTTATCGAGAAATTATGAGAATTTGATTAGCTATAGAGAAACACCGTAGAGGGGAATTTCCGTTGTACGTTCTCCGTAGCCAATCAAAACCTCCCATTCGCTTCGTCGCAGAATGAAATATTAGTTCGTTTGAAACAAATCGCATGGAATTTTCCGTGAAGTTGTAGATACGTGAATATTTTTAGCTGGAGGTAAATACGACCCTATAATCAATATTTTCTAATAGTAATTATTACTCTTTAGCTTGAACTTTGAAGTTGATTGAAGAAAAAAAAGTTATTTAAACGAAGAAACCTAAGTATAAATAACAAAATTAACGTTCTCTTAAATTCTCAATGTTCCCGGTAACTTACGGTATGTTTCACAGTTACCTTCTCCACTTTAATGTTACCGAAAATTTTCGAACTCTACAGATACGTCGTCATCTTCACACCTCCGTTACCTTTTTTAGCCGGTGGATAGCGCTAGTGGCGCACAAGATGTCCCGCGCGAGAGCACCTTCCTCTTACCCCAAGTCCCCGCTTCTGTTCACTGACTGCGAAGCAACTGTCCAATGCAAATGGAGTGCACGGTGACAGAAGAGGTTATGTTTGTTAAAATATAACATGACCGGAATGAGAAAACCAATCACGATTCAAGGAGAAGTGAAACAGCTGACATAAATCAGATCAGATAAGTTATTTTTATTAAACGCTAAATATCAAATGAAAATAAATGGTAGTTTGTGAAAAATTTTGTATTGGCTATAGGTGAAGCAGAGGAACATTAATTACAACTGAAGGTCGGAAAACTGTTGTTACGAAGCATATTTTTCGTAATTGCAATTTATATTGAATATGTAAGTATTATTTACACGAATTAATATGAAAAACACTTCTCATATAGATACTTCCTACTTCAATTTCCTGCATTTTTTTTTTAATTCATACAGGCTATCAATTTATGCTACATGTGTATATTTTTTTGAAGAATGTGATATACAATTTGGAATAAAATCAATCAATTATGTATATCGCTCAATTTCATTTCAAATACACAAACAAAAATGTAATCGGAGAGTGTAACAGTCAAAACTATTTGTAGTTCAATCTGCATAAGGCATCTTGAAGTAAAAAATTAAATACAAAGGTGTACGATGTATCAATATAATGCATACTATGAATTACTTTTATTTCATTTTGAGAGGCACCATACCATATAAAATCAAACACATGCAACGATATTTGGTGTATTCTCATTGCATATTAATATTAATGTTTGGTATTTTCATTCAATGCACACCTTTTTTAAAGAGCATAAATGATAAAAACAACAGATATATTAAAAATAGTATGTAGTTTGAATTGTGTTAACTAATCATTAATGCACAGTATAGATTCATACTTTATGCCAAGTTGTTTCCCTCAATTTAAAATAATTTTTAAAAAGAGACAAAACATACTATATTTAACGCTAGAACTACCGGCGGACTTTTCTTGACGAGCGAGCCATCTAAACCCAGTTATTTTGACTGGACTCGGTAATTCTAGTGTTAATGTTATTCTTATTTCCATTTCCTACAGAAAGACTATAGTAAATATATTGGGTGAAACTGCAAGCAATATTAAGACAGTACGCAATTAACCATAACCAATATGTAGAAGGATTTACAGGAAATGAAAATAAATGAAGCATTGGAAATAGTATAGTGTATATTATGTAGCCCATCAACTGATAGTATAAATTTATGTATCAGACAATTAGACATTTTTTACATTTTATTTTCCTATCCTTTTACATATTATTCCTAAAAATTAACTTGTATATTTGAATTGTTCTAATTAGAGCAATCATAAATGTAAAATTTCCAATATACAAGTTAGTTTTTAAGAAAAACATGTAAAAGGATAGGAAAATAATATTTAAGAAACGTCAAGTGGTCTGATACATACATCTATACTATGAATCGATAAACTGCATAATATACACTGCATACTATTTCCAATGCTTCTCGTATTTTCATTTCCTGTAAAACCTTATAAATATAGATAGCGATTACTTGTCTATAATTTTAATATTGCTTGTGCTATCACCCAATGTATATTCTATATTCTTTCTAAAGGAAATAAAATTAAGAATAAAATTAAATATTGTTTTTTTGTATAATGTAGGTTATGCAGCTCATTGATGCTTAATACACATCTATCAATTGAACAATTTTACATTTCTAATATATAATATCCCCATCCTTATACAAGTACTTTTCCTAAAAATGAAATTACCTAAATATTAGGTGTAAGGGAAAGTTTTGTCGCTTTTTGAACACGTACACTTCTTTAGAAAAAAAAACTACAAAAACTTTCCCTTACACCTAATACCATTCCACACAGCAATAAATAAATGTAAAACATTATTTAAACTTCATTTAATGTTTCGCATTCCTTCATTATTAGCCTAAATGACAATTATACACAATATAGACAAACATCGAAGACATTCCACAAACTCAAAACATGGAAAACATGTTGAACAATTTTCATCGATTGGCAGCCACTTGCTTGATTGCTGTACGTAAACTTGTAATCTCAGAAATGACCTGGATGAATAATAAAAATGTTTATTAATCAGCTGCACATATTTAAAATCAAAACATATTTCTTGATTAACAATGAAAAAGAAGTAATTAGATGATTTTTTACAAAGATCTAATTTGTATGCTAGCCAACATCTCTAAAAGAGAAAAACAGTTAAAAGAGTCAATCTGAGCTAATTTCTGTTTTGAGCATATGTTCGATTAGAGGACTTTAATTTCAAACATCAATTAGTAGTAACCAAACACAAATAGTTTAAAACAACATAAAAGACTGCTTCGGTGAATGGATTTGTGGAAACTACTGTGCTTCGATAAATGTAACGATGTATGACTACTTTGCTTCGAAGGCTCCATGTCAGAGGCTTTTCGAGATTCCTATGAACCACTGTATAATGAAATCTCTGAAATTATATTGTATTACATTTAAATTTTGAAAGTAAATAATTTTCTAGTTTGATTTAAGAAACAAGGCGGTTTATATTACGAAAACGTTTGGACTCTGCAGTATTTGCAGGATTTTTTTCTATTTCTCTGAAATTGTAATAATTATTATGATCATGTGACCTTTTCAGTCATACATGCCTTTAATAATTAAGTTCAATTATTTTTTAAGCACCGTTTTCACTTTCACTGTTATTTTTATCTTGGTCGAGCGAGGCTTTTGATTTGATAATTGATTTGGTTTGCAGTAGAACTTTCTGCAGCAACTGTTTTGTTGATATTCCAGTTAATTTATTTTTTTTTCAAAATAGGCAACTTTTTGAATTTGGTTCTTGCAGTGCTCTTCGGATTCGGTAGTGTATGTGTATTTATCTGCTTTCAATAAAGTTTTAATTCTTTCCTGTGCTTTGGTATAATTCCCTAAAAGAAGTGCACCAAATAAATTGAATGAATAAGTTTTTTCTTATCAATTGTAATTTACGTGTATGACCCTTCAAAATGATGGGATAAAAGGGTTAACATTTGTCTGCTGGGCTTCGACCTTTTATAAATTCACGGAGAACCAGACATTATTCCTTATAATATAGCAGAGGCATAAACTGAGCAGACATTTGATTTTTTACCTTGTCGTACGAGATCTAAGAAACAAGCACAACATCTATTACACGAGACAATGATTTCTTCTCAACAAATTGCACTATTTGGTAGGACAATATGTTCTTGAAACAATGAATTATTGTACCTATGAAAAAGTGAAATAAAAAAACCAATCAGCTTATACTAGCAACTAACAAAATTCTCGCTTAATCACAGAAAAAAAGAATCTTTAACAATAAAACAGGTTATAGCACCGAAAAGCACGTGCAATTTAGAGGTTATGTTAGCAAGAACTAAACTCATACGTTTATTTGTACGAAACCAATCCATCTTTTAATTTACTGATAACGAAGAAGATGGTTATTAACCCTTATCACTTCAAGAATATTAGAAGAGTATAAGAAGTTGGGAGTGTTACTGCCGGTTGGAGTGGTAAGGGTTAAGGTGAAGTGAAACACGTCGAGGAACTTGATCAACGTGGATAAAGAAGATTTTTCTAAATGCCTACGTTGCCGACGTTCGTTTTTACATTGACAGCTGTATCGAATTATATTGGGTATTGTCCCAAATGGCATACTACACCTGTCATTTTCGTGTAATAATTATAAAGAAATCGAAGTAAAACTCCAGAAATCCTCTGGATTCATGCTTTCTGGGGCTCTAATTGACTGCAGTGGTACCCCCTGCGCCATCTGTGATTTCCAGGTCAATTAAATTTTCACTCCGAGACCTCTTATTCCCATCGTTTTGGCATAGAAGCGCATACAACACTTTTTTTGCCTTTATCCCGTTCAAATGCGAGTTTATCGACTACCAGAGTCTTCTAAATTGTCATAAAATTGTCCTGACCCTTTCGTTTCTCATAACAGAGCCTTCGATAATTGTATATTGATCGAAATATGAGAGCTCGACACCATTTTGGTTCTGGTCTGGACTAAGTTAAAAAGTTTTTTGAAATATCCAAATTTTGAATGTGTCAGGACAATTCTTAGATGATCAGGAGTGATGTGTCAAAATTTCGGACAGTTTGGTCTAATACCCTTAAAAAAAGATGTATTCGAATCGACTAATTTGAAGGGGGTTTCACTTCACCTTAAGCGTTACTGGAAGTTTTTACTGCACAAGTGTCGCATATCCTATATCATATTTTTGTGACTATCCTATTTTGCATAAATACGAAAAAACTACAAAAAAAAGATAACAAAAGAGTGCACTAAATTAATATTCGTTCAAGATAAATAAATTTCCCAATAACAAAAAAGGTTCTTTGCGTGTTTTATACCATTCACCCTATTACTTAAATCTCGTGTATTAAGACTACTATACGCCCGCAGCATATTTTGATACGGCTTAGAGAAGGTCCGTCTTTCTGTCTAACCTCTTCCGGACACTTGAACGTATACATTGTGACGTAGTGAACGGGTCACGTGACCCAGGCGCGGCCCGCCGGGCCTCGGCGTCTCGCGGGTCACCTTCGCTCGACCGCTTTGGCGCGACCGTCCGATATGGTCACCAACTAAGGAGGAAGTAAATAAAGAATCAGAGTATGCACGATATTAACAGTTTTATCAAGTTGGAATTTATATATAAACATTAAGTATGTATGGAAAATGTTAGGTTACATGAGGTGTCTTTTTATTTATCTAAACGTATTTTCAACGATGTCGATTAACCTTTAGTAGATGTCTACTAGAGCTATTATATATTTTCTATGCGTCAAGAAATAAGTAGATATTTGTGGATCAATAGTGGATATATAATTTTCATCTACAACAGACATAGATATTTATATATATCCTTTAGATATTTGTTTAGGTGGGTGATAGACGATATCCATTTGTTACACCTATAGACCTAATTTAGACGATTAATTTACGTATATTCGACTTCATGGGTTGCCTGGGCTAGTCTTATTTTTTTGCGATTAACGATCTTACATCGGCTTTGCATGCTTTTCTTCAAGGAAACAACGCAAGTAAAATTTTAATTAGTAAGTTCTAAATCCATCACAAATCTATACTTACATTTGTAAACCTTTTGAGGATCATTTTTAAAAAAGATTAATTCTTTAATCATTATAAAATCTGTATGAATCTCTGAGCAAGTATGGTAAAACAATCCTGTTTATTTTTCAAAAAAATAAAATTTAAATTCACCGATTTAATTGAAACACCGTAGGTATCAACAAATAATAATTTTTGACATAATGCAAAATTTTTTTATCATCTTATAATGCGTACTGTACGTTGTTTAAAGAAGCTTCGTTGTTCCTCACGTCTCTTCTTCTTATTACCAGAGTTACAGCCTTTTACAAAACAAGTCGACATGTTCCTTAATAGTTTATTACATTAAAAAGATCAAATTCTTCATAATTTGCGCGGTTATCGTTACACGTTGCGTACCTTAATCGTAGATTTAAAAGCGTTTATATTTTTGAAATAGATGGGAAATGTTTTGGGCATGTGATACAAGAGTTCATACATTTTCCGCAAGGGCGCTCGCATCGTTAGATCAACACAAATCTGAGATCCCAGGCTCCCGATTATGGAACCACTTTTTATGGAACCAACCATAGGCGTTATATCTCCTTATACTATTTCGTGGTTACAGTAGTGATCCATTTGGAATCCATTCACTATATAAAGAGGTATTGAAAGGCACAGTAAAATCAAAAGTTTATCTGATAGCTGGAACTACAATTATACAAAACTTTGTGCACATTATAAGGTTATTCTAAACTCGTTTATGTGGTTGCCGAAACAATGCTTTACCACCATTAGTTTCGACGGAATCGCCAGATGGTGAGACTTTCTTGCAGATGGCACAGGTAACTTGTTTACATATAAGACCTGTTATTATTCTTTAGGTATAAGTTATGGCGTTTTATGTATGACGCTACCTCTTTTCGAGGAAGGGGGGAAATGATCATTAAGGTGAAGTGAAATCCCCTTCAAATCAGTCGATTTGAATACAACACTTTTTTTTTAAGGGTATTAGACCAAACTGTCCGAAACTTTGACACATCACTCCTGGTCATCTGAGAATTGTTCTGACACATTCCAAATTTGGATTTTTGGAAACAATTTGTTAACGTAGCCCAGACCAAAACCAAAATGGCGTCGAGCTCTCACATTTCGATCAATATACAATTATCGAAGACTCCGATATGAGAAACGAAAGGGTCAGGATAAATTTGCGACAATTTGGAACACTTTCGTAATCGATAAATTCGCATTTGAACGGGATAAAGGCAGAAAAAGGGTCTTATCCGCTTCTATGCCAAAACGATGGTAATACCAGGTCTCGAAGTGAAAATTTAGTTGATACGGAAATCACAGATGGCGCAGGGGGTCCCTCTGCAGTCAATTAGGGCCCCAGAAAGCATGAATCCAGAGGATTTCTGGAGGTTTACTTCGATTTCTTGATATTTATTGTACGAAAACGACGGGTGGAATATGTCATTTGGTACAATACCCAATATAATTCGACACAGCTGTCAATATAAAAGCGAATGTCGGCAACGTAGGCATTTAGAAAAATCTTCTTTGTTGCAAAATGGTTACGATTACCACAATTGTGGTTTTCCATGACCATTCTTCTTATTTTTTTTCCGTGCGCGCACGCAATCAAAACAATTGAAAGTTTCATTTTCCCCCTCTCTCACTCCATCACTCACAAAATGAACTTTCATTTATTTTCGACGCATGCGCGGTTAAGTTGAGACAGAAAGACCTTCAAGCAGTTCCCTCTCTCACTTATTCTCCGACGGGCGAACGGCAGCGATGCGTAGTCCATGTATTCATTCCATGTTTTGGTCAAGCTTAATTACTTCCCCAGTAGCACAAAATATTTGTCTTATATTTTCTATATATTTAACGAATATCATAAATTTTATAAATACTTAGCAGACATTTGAAATATTTGCGAAACATTTACTTTAGAACATTATTTGTTTAATATTTCTATAATATCAGCTCCACGTGTTTTCGTAATATTTTTCTTCTAGACATACAAAACATTTCGTTTAATTTTAGTATAAGTATTGTTTAGTTATTCTTTGCCGAATACATTATAAACGTTTTAAAAATATTTAAAATCAAAATCACGCGTTTTACTCCCACAATAAAATAACGGAACGAAAATATGACAAAAATTTGTCGGGTTTGATACCAAATTAGGTGTTCGATAATAATCGTAAAGTAAAAAATGTATCTTTATTATATGTTCATAAATTAAAAAATATAATTTCTATATATGTTTAAAAATGTTTAAAACTGTATATCATTGAGATTTTCATCAAATATTTCGGATATCATCGAATGAAATCTACAAGATCTTTAAAAATCTGTCGCTTGAGATATTTAATAAAGATTACAAAGAAATATTTAGAAATTATTCTGCGCTACTAGGGTTAACTTTGGTCAATGGTGTACAATTTTCGGCCAAAAATGAGCCTTGATCCAATTGTTGCTTTGGTACTTTCTGCGCATAACATCTGAGTCCTACAGATGCATCAACACTGAGCATCTATCTGTATAAAATCCACCGATGAACCCATTTAACGTGGTTAATTTATTAATAAATGTTATACTTTTACGTTATCCACAGAATAATAATGTAACACCCTGAGCTAGGTAACTATTTCAATTGAATTAATTTGAAACAAGTATCAAAAATGTAAAATGCCAGTTTCTATTTCGTATTTTAAATGACAACATAAGTGCTTTGCATTTTCTATTTTAAACAGATTTTGAATCTATTTCCATTTAAAATTAAATACATCTAGGAAAAATACATGCAAGATTGAATTATACATGTACATTTTTGTATACCAATGTAGTGTGTATGCAAATTAGTATATTAGAAAAGAAAATAGAGGTACATCAATTAGAAAGTTACTTCTTCTTTCAATTGAATTAATTCTCGAAATAGTCATACAACATACACAACATGAAACAGCCACTCTCGCAAAAACTGTTTAATTTAATTTTGTTTACCAGTTTTTTTAAATAAAAGTTCTCATTAAAGTACACAAGTTTTCACAAGTTCTCCACAAAATATTTTAAGTTCATTTTGTATTTTTTACTAACCTGTTTCAAATATAAAGTTTATATTTCTTATTTTAAATAAAAAAGAAAATGTAATTTTATTTTATATTTTAAATGCATTTTATTAAACAATGTTGTGTTTTTTATTGTAAATAGATTTTGAGAACTATTTTATCCAGCTCTGATGATGATGCCAGAATACCTGGTCATTGACATACGGATTAAGGTGAAGTTAAACCCCCCTCAAATCAGTCGATCCGAATAAGACACTTTTTTTTTATGAGTAGTGAACCGAACAGTTTGAAACTTTGACACGTGACTCGTGCGCACCTAGGAATTATCCTGATACTTTCAAAAATTGAATTTTGGAAAAAAATGGTTTAACTTAGTCTACACGAGAACCAAACTAGCGTTGAGCTCTCATATTTTGATTGATATCGAATTATTGAAGGCTTTAATATGAGAAACGAAAGTGTCAGGACAATTCTACGACAATTTAGAACACTCTGGTAATTGAGAAACTCACGTTTGAACGGGATAAAGGCCAAAAAATGGTCTTAAGTGCTACTATGCTAAAACGATGGGAATGAGGTCTCGGAGTGAAAATTTAGTTGACACAGAAATCACAGATGGCGCAGGGGGTCCTTCTGCAGTCAATTAGCGCCTCAAAAACCATAAATCCAGGGGATTTCTGGTGTTTTACTTTGATTTCTTTATAAATATCGTACGAAAACGACAGGTGGAGTATGCCATTTAGTACAATAACCAATATAATTCGACACAGCTGCCAATATGAAAACCAAAGTCAGCAACGTAGGTATTTAGAAAAACCTTTTTTACCGACGTCAATCAAGTTTCTCGACGTGTTTCACTTCATCACTTAATCGCTGCATCATAACATCTGTTCCGTGCTCATCTATAATTTTTTCGGTTTACGGATTACCGAGTCTGTCTGTTAATTTCTTTTTTTTTTTTTCAGACAAGCGACAGTACCATCGCTGAAGATAAGTTATAAAGGATCAACGGTCGCACGAGCGTTGTTTCTCGATGTAAGCCTAGAATTTCAGTATTGCACAACAAATAGTTGGTAATTAAAGAGAACGACTCGTAATTTTTGTGATTACCATTTTCAATTTATTCATTATTTACACACGTTTATCTGTGTCAACCTGGGAGCTACACGGAGTACCGTAAATATGCTATTTTTATATATATATATATATTTAAACTATACATCATACATACTATACAAACGGATTATTTACAATGTTTACACGGTGTTTTTTTTACCTATTCACAGATTTTACATCGAAACACGCCATTATCGATAAGGCATCTGTACAAATATACAACACGCATTAATTAGGCTTGGAGAAATAAATAGTAATCCTTAAGCAGGTACGGTTTATGTTAAATATTTATTCGCGGCGTGTGGGCGCATACGCGAGGGGGTGCAGGATCACAAATACGTTACTCGTGTCTACGTTACGGTGGCGAGAATTGCAGGATATGGGAGTTTTTGCTTTTTAAAGAAACACTCGCACGTCTACAGATGTGACCACCACTGTTTTGAACCTGTGCGTTGACTACACTAGACTTCTTACAAGGTACCGCAAAAGTTCAAACTCAATGACCAGGTCGGATCGGATGGCCCGGAACATGACAAACTGCTGATGCGGCGGTACATCCTAGACAGTACGAGAGAATGGGGCTAAAACGAACGAGTTCCAACCCTCCCCGTCCGATTTGCTTGTACCGGCAAGAGAAGAGAGAGTCTCCTGTGGTACTTGTTCCATAGAGACATCGCTCGGTCCGAGAGAGGACAGGAAGGACTTGCGTCGTGGTATGGAAATCGTTCCCAAAAACTCCACACCAAAGCCTGATCTCTGTTTATAACCGAATCCACCGTAAACGCGTCGACGTACAATCCTTAGAGGAGTGGTTTTCCTGTACCTCTAAATAGACTATCTCTAACGATCATCCGGGAATCACGGAACCGCTAATGCGTTCCGGTGAAAAGTACACCGCTGGTCGTCCCGGACTATTTGGCCGGACCTGACGGGAATTCCCATCTTAGCGCTGATCGCGTCGCATTCGTCCCGCTATTCTGCGTTGCACGATGTCGCGCATGTTGTTCCATCTCTTGGTTAAAGGTTTCTTCCCTCGTGTTCCCCCGCTAGCCACTCGCGGCGTGTTATCTCTTTCACAATCAGCCTCACCCGATTACATCCCGCGCATGAGCGTGCACGAGTGCTACACCTCCGTCGGTGGAATTGGAAAATTACCGATGTAACGTTCTTATATACATATCGACTTGTTGACCGAGCTAGCGAGCGAGCGAGCAAGCGAACGACGCATGGTGACGCAATAATGGCACATTCTTGCGACGACCGTGCGCGATCGTGCCACGCTAGGCGAAAGAGGGTTTAGCTAGGAGCGAACAAAGGGCGAGTAGCGTCGATCGTTGAGCAAATTGAACGCGGTCCCGGTGCTCGTCCGCGAAATCCCGAGGTGATCGCAAGGAGAGTTCGATGCGTGGCATTTTTCGGCCGCGGCACTCGCAAGCTTTACCGCAGATCGAGAATGACGGTGTACGGATAGAGTACCGCGCGCAATTGAAGAAGGCGCCGTTTTTTCATATCGCTACTTAGGACACTCGCTTGGCGCAAAGTCCACGAGTCGAATTAGCGCGCGTTCAACTTGGACAAAGGCGACGCAATCGTCTCACGATCCAAGATGGCCACCGTGTCCAGCATCCGCGGGCGCGCTTCTTCCGGAATGGAGTCCGGCAAGTCGAGTCGGGACAAGGGTCAATGCCGGAACTTCCGTCGCGAACCGTTCGTCAACGTGGTCCCCGCGACCCTCCCTCTCGCTAGCCCGCTCGCCACTCCGATCTCCCCTTCCTTTCGGGGCTTTCGGTAGATTCCTTGGTCGGCCGGGATAAATAGCACCTGCCTGGCCGCAGCTATATAAATCTATACCGGTTCCTCTCTCTTTCTCGGCCCCTCCGCCTCTCCGGCGGCTTATTAATAAATTCTACGTATCCAAGGAGGCCTGACATACCTACCGCGCACATAACGCTCTTAGTTCACAGGCCGCCGGGTTTGTTGATTACCGAAACCACGGAGAATGCGGTAGCGTCACGCACTCGCTCCCTCGCTCGGCTCACGGCCGGTTCGAGGATGGAGTAATCCGCGGAGCGACCGTTTCTCCCGGCGTCTCCGGACGTCTCCGGACGTCTCCGGACGTCTCCGGACGTCTCCGGACGTCTCCGGACGTCTCCGGACGTCTCCGGACGTCTCCGGACGTCTTCGAACGTTCAGCGGCAGCCACACCCGAGGACCGCCATGTCCTGGTAATTCTTGAGGACGACCTTGTTCTCCTCGTCGAGGTAGAGCATCGAGATGGAGCTGAGAGCCGTGGGCACGCAGCAGGCCTTGGGTACCATGCTAGGGTTGGTCGAGTAGACGAGGTTTTGGACGATCGCATGGTTCGTCGAGTTGAGGTGGTCGGCTAAGGGGAAGGGACAGTCGCCGTGGCAGTAGAAGGCGTCGTAGCCGGGCGGCGCGACGATCCAGTCGTTCCAGCCGACGTCGGCGAAATCGACGTAGAGCGGGTGCCGCCGGCAGTTTTCGCGGCCGTCCTTCCGCCGGTTCTTGCGGAGCGCCGCGCGCCGGGCGCGTCGGTCCATGATCTGCCGGGCGGAGGCCGCCTTGTTGCGCCCGTCGTTTGTGTACGCGAAGAGCAGCGGCCGGCTCGAAGCCCAGATTTCGCCGGGCTCGTCGGCGCTGCGCCGCAGACGGATGTGGCCCCCTCTGCTCGCGCCCGCGTGCGAGTCCGCGTGCGAGTCCGCGTCCCGCACCTCCACCAGCAGCCCGTGGTTGTGCGCTCGCTCCGCGAGCCATCGTTCGGCTGCCGGCTGCACGTCCAAGCTCACCGAGCCGTTCCTCCGAGCGTCGATGGTTTTCCCGTCGATCAGTCGCAGCAGCGGCTTGCTGCGTCCCTTGAGGCCCGGGCGCACGATGTCGTGCACCAGGACGCGCAGCAGTCGCGGGCCGTCGGCCTGGCGGGCACGAGTCAACGTCAGCTCGGCCGCCTGCAGCGATTCGCCCGCCGGGATGCCGCTCAGGTCGAAGGCCAGGCGGAACCGATTGGGCGACTGGAACTTTAGGTCCACCTCGCTTTCTGGAACACAAAAGTCAGCGGTTAGAACTACGGTCCCATCCTCGACGAGAGATCGGGAGATTTTGTACTTTTCGCCGACGAGGACGACGCGTGTATGTAGATTGGGTTCCTCTACCCGGACCGGTTGGAGCAACCGGGGTGGATTTTCATGAAATATTCGTAAATCGAAATGGCAGGGTCTCGGACGAATAAGCTCGCCTTGCAACCTTTGCCAAAATGACAGTCCTGTTACGAGACAGCAGCTGGGGACGATTCGATGCGCCGGGACCCTCTACCGTTCCGGATGCTTCCTTAACGAGTTACTTAGCACGCGGATCAGGAGGATCGCTCCTCGGAACGACGGCCCGACTCGGAGACCCGGCGAAAGGTCCGGACTCGTGGTACGAGGGCGCGCGCGTACTATTCTTAAAAGGTACCATATTTCACGATAACGTTGTCGAATGGTTGAAACACAAAGAGCCGTGAAAGTCGCTTGAGGCTACGCGTTTTTGTTGTGCACTCGGCAGCGCCAGGGGGAGAACATATACCTCCCGGTGGAACGAAATCTCGGCGGTGGCCCCTTGGAAATCCACCCGAGGAATTCCGAAAGTGCGGTCGCGCCGGCCGTCCATAAACCGGCCCTTACCTGCGATCGCATCCTGATAGGATGCGAACCGACTCGAACCGACAATCGCGTCTTGTCCTCGCTCGCGAATAGAGGCTCTGGAAGCGACGACTTTCGGACATCACCTGAGAAATCGAAAATGCTCCGTTCCGTTCCAAGAAAATCCGCCACTCAGGCTTATCGTACTCTACTAGTTGACGCTTAACAAGTAATTGAACATACGTGTCGATTTGGATTTACCGTCAGTGGGAAGAGGGAACATATTAAGGTGAAGTGAAACACGTCGAGGAACTTGATCGACGTCGATAAAGAAGATTTTTCTAAATGCCTCCGTTGCCGACGTTCGTTTTTATATTGACAGTTGTATCGAATTATATTGGATATTGTACCAAATGGCATACTCCCTTGTTGTTTTCGTACAATAAATATCAAGAAATCGAAGAAAAACTCCAGAAATCCTCTGGATTCATGCTTTCTGAGGCCCTAATTGCCTGCAGAAGGATCCCCTGCGCCATCTGTGATTTCCAGGTCAATTACATTTTCACTCCGAGACCTCGTATTCCGATGGTTTTAGCACAGAAGCGCATAAGACACTTTTTTTTGCCTTTATCCCGTTCAAAGGCGAGTTTATCGATTACCAGAGTGTTCTAAATTGTAAAATTGTCCTGACCCTTTTGTTTCTCATATCAGAGCCTTCGATAATTGTATATTGATCGAAATGTGAGAGTTCGACGCCATTTTGGTTTTGGTCTGGGCTAAGTTAAAAAATTTGTCCAAAAATTCAAAGTTTGAATGTGTCAGGACAATTCTTAGATGATTAGGAGTTATGTGTCAAAGATTCGGACAGTTTGGTCTGATACCCTTAAAAAAAAGTGTTGTATTCGAGTCGACTAATTTGAATGGGGTTTCACTTCACCTTAACCTGTCCATGAATCGAACTCGAAACTGACCGCCGGCAACCTCGTTGATCTGTCCAACCGATTGCACGCTGCGAACTTGTCACCAAGTATCATGTTTCGATTTTTTCGATAAAAATTATCTGATTTTTTTAAAAAAGTAATTGGCGTTTTTATTCTACGATAAAAATCCCGATACGACAGAGCAATACAATGGAGCCTGTAATCTTTGCAACGTTATACGGAAATTATTCGTAAGAATCCGATAAAAATCGGCCCAGCAGATTCCGAGTTTTGAGCGGTACAACAAAGTTTTTGTTTTCATATAATTTGACATTAGATTCCCGAAGGATAGCGGCATAAAGACTATAGCTGCACTATAAAACTTGTTTCCTGCATCGCTTCACTATTCCTTTTAATAAATTAACTTATTTTCTGAATTACAAAATTTAGTAAGGCTACTATATTTTTGTACTTTTTGGAAATAGTAAAGTGAATTATTCCATTTGTACTATACTTGTCTGGGAAGGATGACAGAAATTTGGGATAATGGACGTTACTCGTGGAGTAACCTTTTTCATGTAAAGCTGAATGGTCGACACTTAGTACAATGAAGCCCAAGGATATTATGACTTAAATGTAAAAAATAATAATGGATCTTACAGAAAGGAACTATCCACATCACTTGCGAGAAACCCTCGCCATCAATTCATTCGAAACTAACTTGAATAAAAACTTCAAGAACAGTACGAGGCCAAGGGGTTAATCTTAATAGTAAAATAACCACGGTAACTGAAACTATAATTTATGAGCTACGTTCCCTATGGTTCCTAATACTAAATTATTTTATTAGTATAACTTTGAAAATAGTTATAGGAGCTGTAAATTATAATTTCATCTACTATTATTGATTGACATAAGTTTTCTTTGAGTAACTGCAACTAAATGTTTTTTAAGTGTAAATACGAAGATGAGCAAATTACTAAACATGTTACGGAGCAACGCAGTCTCCGGCATCATTGATCCGCCAAGCACGCTGCTTCTCTCGATCAGACGAGTCATCGAGTCGCGAATTGAAACGAATTTGACTCGCAATAAGCAATACATCTAAAATGCGTGATTTCGTCACAGAGTTAAGGGCCTTGCGATTTCGACCCTGGTATCGTCAACCGAATCGAAACGATTTGCCTCCAGAATTCGGATGAGCACGTTGGCTGTCGATGACCCATTCTTCGGCGATTTAAGGTGAAGTGAAACCCCCTTCAAATCAGTCGATTCGAATTCAACACTTTTTTTTAAGGGTATTAGACCGAATTGTCCGAAACTTTGGCACATCACTCCTGATCATCTAAGAATTGTCCTGACACATTCAAAATTTGGATTTTTTAACCAAATTTTTTTACTCAGCCCAGATCAGAACCAAAATGGCGTCGAGCTCTCATATTTCGGTCAATATACAATTATCGAAGGCTCTGATATGAGAATCGAAAGGGTCAGGACAATTTTATGACAATTTAGAACACTCTGGTAATCGATAAACTCGCATTTGAACGGGATAAAGGCAAAAAAAGGGTTGTATGCGCTTCTATGCCAAAACGATGGGAATACGAGGTCTTAGAGTTAAAATTTAATTGACCTGGAAATCACAGATGGCGCAGGGGGTACCACTGCAGTCAATTCGGGCCCCAGAAAGCATGAATCCAGAGGATTTCTGGAGTTTTACTTCGATTTCTTTATAATTATTATACGCAAACGACAGGTGGAGTATGCCATTTGGGACAATACCCAATATAATTCGATACAGCTGTCAATGTAAAAACTAACATCGGCAACGTAGGCATTTAGACAAATCTTCTTTATCGACGTTGATCAAGTTCCTCGACGTGTTTTACTTCATCTTAAGCCCTTTAATAACGCATAAGGCAGACTTAAGGCAATTAGGTTCGACCCTAGACGAAACGGCATCTGGAATGGGCCAGGGGGCTGGAACTGGGTTCGTTCGGGTCCGTTCGGGTCCGTTCGGGTCAGTTCGGGTCCGCTCGAGTCCGTCCGAGTCCGTTCGAGTCCGTCGGAGTCCGTCCGAGCTCGCCCGAGCCCGCCCGTGTCCGCCCGTGTCCGCCCGTGTCCGCCCGTGTCCGCCCGAGTCCGCCCGAGTCCGCCCGAGTCCGTCCGAGCCCGTCTGTCCGGGTCCGTCTGGGTGCGGAGTAGGATTCGTCCGGGCCCGTCCGAGTCCGTCAAAGTTCATCTGGTTGCGGGACCGGGTTCGTCCGGGTCGGTCCGGGTGTGGGACCGAGTCTGTCCGGGTCCGTCTGGGTGCGGGACCGGGTCCATTCGAGTCGGTCCGGGTGTGGGACCGGGTCCGTCCAGGTCTGTCCGGGTCCATCCGCGTCCGTCCAGGTCCGTCCGGGTCCGGATTCGCTGGACCCGGTCGCCCATCCCCCGCGCCACTGTCCCTCATTTAATTTTCTACCCCGAAATCAGGTCGGCTGCTTCCCGATCCAGGGTCTTTCGCTCTTTTCGGGAACGCCGACACGATTTCTCCGAAATTCTTAACGCGAGGTCACTTTCGAGGAACTTCGGAACCCACGCTGGAAATCTCCGATGTGGACTCGCCCACTCTTACAGTTCTACATCTCCTTCCTAAATTGCCACATAAATCTTCGCCCAGCAGAGAAAAGTCTTTTTGTACGTAACAACATTTTTTTATCCGGTGAATCGCGGACGGATGAAGTTACATAAGTAGGTAATTCCGCATCTTGGCAAATCACTTGAGAAACTATGCGATGCCATGCGTTACGCGGAAAGTAATGTCAGGGGCTGACTATATTTCATTACCTGCTCTAAACGAGTTCGAACACGCCCCGGTCAACAACGTTCGCGTAGTAAATGATTAATCGACAAAAAGTTAACGCGGTTTCGCGTGATTTCCCTTAGACATAAGGCAGACCATGAGATACCGATTGGCGAGGGACAATTAACCAAACAAATATCCTGCCTCCTAATCCGAGACCATAATTCGTGAGGTAAACGATCTCCTTCGTTCCTCGTGTCCAAGACTTAATTTTAATTAATTCTACTGAATTCGAGGATGTTGAAACACGATGAATTTTTTGTTCTCATCAAATGTTAACTTGTATCCCAAGCAATTACTTAAGGTGAAGTGAAAGACGTCGAGGAACTTGATTGACGTCGATAAAGAAGATTTTTCTAAATGCCTACGTTGCCGACGTTTGTTTTTATATTGACAGTTGTGTCGAATTATATTGGGTATTGTACCAAAGGGCATATTCCACCTGTCGTTTTCGTCCAATAAATATCAAGAAATCGAAGTAAAACTCCAGAAATCCTCTGGATTCGTGCTTTCTGGGGCCCTAATTGACTGCAGAAGGACCCCCTGCGCCATCTGTGATTTCCAGGTCAATTAAATTTTCACTTCGAGACCTGGTATTACCATCGTTTTGGCATACAAGCGGATAAGACCCTTTTTCTGCCTTTATCCC